TAGAAAGTCAAGCTCTCAACATGGCAATAACGCAACCACGGAAACGGCTACGCATACACGCAGAGCATAGGGGTTCCGTCTCTAGCTCACCTGGCAAGATCGTGTCCCGGTTCTTGGCCTGGAACAGATGGACGAGGCCGTGCAGGTGCTCCTTGCACTCGGCGTCTCTAGCCTCGGCGCCCCTCGGCCACGAGCGGGGCATGAAGAGCTTCGCCCCGTTCAAGCGCGTCAGGTCTCCCAAGCGCAGCTCGAGGTTGTACACCAGCTCGCGGGCGAAGGAGCGGCAGCAGGTGTAGCAGCCTTGCATGTTCCCGCTGCTGGTGGTGTATCCCTTCACGGCCTCCTCGTGCAGGTCGAACTTGTGTACCCGGGCCTCACCATCCTTGTCCACCCCCTCCACAGTCACTTCACGGCAGTCCGGGGAGGCGTGCCGCGCGAGGAATGCAGACAGCAGCTCGCTGGTCCCACCGCCAAACTGCTGGCCACAGTGCAGGTACCGCTGCTCCATGTAAATGATGGTCCGCCTCACCTGGGAGTGCACTGCAGTGAGGTCAACCTGTTGGTAGGGGGAGAGTAGGTACACCGAAACAAAAGATAAGTAACTGGGTTTAGAAGATGAGAAAAGCACTATGTAACTCAACACCTCACCTGACGCTTCTGGAATAGCAAGTTGAGCGCGTTGAGTGCCGTGTGCACATCTGCCAAGAAGAACAGAAAAAAATGAAACTTGAACGACGTCACCAACTGGTACATCGTCTTAAAAGTCTAAGCCAGTAATAGCGGCTGGCCTCGTGCCTGCGACGGGCAGAGGGCCGTCACCTGCGGGCGTCGAAACCGCCATGGCTGCTCAGCGCTGCAGAGCATGCCGAGCTTGAGGGAGAAGCTACTCCTGCTTCAGCTCGAACATCACTTCCTGCAGGGGTTCACGAGGAGTGCAGGAACAGAATGAGGGAGCAGATGGGGGTACCCCCTCTCCCGAGCTGCGATGACGAGGGATCTTGGTCCAGGCCAGGGTTTTCGTCTTCCCAGGCAAGATGACAACACCCCCACTCCACTCTGCCATCCCTGGCATGTTGGCGTGGACCCTGCCACCTGTGGTGTGTTGTCTCTGTTCTCATTGGGCAGTTGTGAACTAGGTTAGCCGTTCTCTGATATTCTGGCTTCCAGCGCGGCAAAACGGTTCGGCGCGCACTAGCTGTAAATACAGTGCATGTGAGAAGATTCCAAGTGTGTGTGGGGTTTCGTGAATCACGCGAAGGAACAGCCTGTACACGCGTCGCCCCCCCCCCCCCCCCCCCCCCCCCCCCCCCCCCCCCCTTTCCCCCGGCCGGTCAAATCCGTTTCAGGGTGACGCACTGAAGTATACTGATTCCTCAGTGTAACTCGTTCAGAAACACACAAAACCGTCAGTGTGGCAAACTCACATTCACTGAAATTTCAGCCCAAAATGGAAGCATTTACTGATTTTCCAGGGAAAACGAAATTCAGAGCTACAAAATCAGCGTAATCAGCGTGTTTTACGCTGACATCTGAGGGCCTGATCCTCATCCTCAAAGCTCGGGCATACTATGATCATGAGAGTCCTGAGGTTGGTGAGGCTGGTAATAGTCTTGGGCAAGGAGACCAAATTGGGAAAAAAACTTAAAGTTAGCCGGTGCAGCTGTGAAAGATTCCCAATCTCATCTGATAGCGAAGAAAGACTAAAAGGGCCAACCAGGAAGAGCGATGATAGATTCGAGAGCCGGAAAAGAGACATCATGAATGCTTCTTCATCCTCGCTTCTGGCCCTGCATTTGGCTAACCAACCAAACTCAAGCTCTATGAGGCTGGTCCAAAATCGAGGCAGAAATGGATAGACTACAGGAATGTTGTCACAGTGATTGAAGGAGAAGTTGCGGAGATTGGAGAGATTGGAGAAGGAACCCGGAATTCGAGTAATGCTTCTGAGTTGGCACAGCTCGAGACGCTCCAGAGATGATAGGCGACCCATGCTTTCTGGAAGGTCCCCGAGTCTTGGACAGTTTCTGATGACCTGCACACGGAGGTTAGAAATACTGCACAGGGAGTCTGAAAGCGTAGCAAACTCCTGGCAATTTCTGATGGTTAGCGTTGTGAGAGAAACGAGGCCTGACACAATCCTTGGAAGCTCTTCGAACCATTCACATTTGACAAGCTCAAGAACTCGGAGGGAAGTCAGTTTGGTAAGGGCGGAGTTAGTTTTGAAGTAGAACTCTTGAAGATTCTGAAGCTGGCTAATGGTGTCAGGGAGAGCCTCTAACACCTCCATTTCAATAAGGCTGAGTCAGATCAGTGACTTCACGTCACACCATGCATCCGGTAGCTCGTCGAAGGAATGCGAATAACTCATCTCTAGATCAGTCAGTCCGGTGAGCCGGCCAAATGAAGGCGGAAGGGCGTAATTCCACGAGGTAACGAATTTTAGCTTCGTCAGGGACCTTAAAACCCAGGGTCCACAGGTTTCAAAGGTAGGAAGGTTGGTTGGACTTAGTGACAAAACCAAAGGTAGGAAGCTTGGTTGGACTTTGTGACCCAACCAAAGGTAGGAAGGATGAGGCAACTACGGGAAACTTGAGACTCCGGTTTTAAATTATCGAACAGATCAGGAATACCTTCGACACTCACGCGCCACTTGACCTCTTTAAGGATGTTAGGCTGAAAAAGGATGGTGGCAAATTGCAATCTTCAGTATCGCAGGCTGCCCTTATATCGAGGGAGAGGTACTGTAACGCAGTGCACGCTGTGAAAAGGGCATCTAAGCCTTCATACGTCACTCCTTTTTCAAACCCGTTGTTCAGGTCAAGATGAATTAACTGGGGACAGGCAGCTCCCAGGCCACGGATGAACTCGTCGTTATCCGGATCGATAAAGAACTTGTTGATCGTGAGAGAAGTCAAGCCTTTGAACCGGGAGAGAGAATTGAAAAGATTAGCATCCACTGTAAGGCAAGGCGGACTGTTGGCAATGGACGTCTGTGCAAGGTAAGCGAGGCGATTCCAACGTTTACAGACCAACGCATGATTGAAGTAGCTGGGTGACTGCTTGTTTAAGCAACAGAACATGAGGCAGATGAGCTCGTCCTGCAGCTGATTAAACGACGCTCGCAACATGACTATCGCGATGCGAGTCCAGGTGTGGCAATTATATAGTTCTATAGTTCTACAAGGAAAGAGGTGGGGAACACAGAGCTGTCTTGCGTGAATGGCGTTGGCTTAGATCTGAGGGACGGGAGTGCTTTCGGGCCTAGACATTCCCCTCAGACGAAGCAGTTTCGTTGTGCTGCCTCTCAGATCTGCTTCAAGGAGAACCTTTGAAGCTCGTACCTTGCGAGTGTGGAGAGACGTGCTTGTTGCCTTTGTTGTAGGCTCACTTCGACTTGTTGTTTGGCTTATGACGAAGACAAGCGCGAATGGCGGAAGTTGTTGAGTGGAGCTCGCGAGTATCGTAATCCGTTTCGTCAACTCCAAACCTCGTGGAGAAGATTTCGAACCATGCCTCGCATGATGTTACCATGTGGTGCCACCATCAAGTCTCGAAGCTGCCAATCAAGGTGAAGAACTGAACTCGGTAACAAATTGGATGAAATCAACTCATCGTCAGCCGTCAAAACTGAAATCCTCTCCCACCCCTCCACCCCCGTTCCATCGCTCAGAGCCCCAACCCTAGCTGCTTTGTTCCCGCTTCAAGCACCACTGCTCTATCTCGAAGAGAATGGCGGACGTGAATCATGGCCATGCACGAACGTGGTTATCCGATCAGGTGCAGGATTTTTTCCCGTCCTCCTCGGCCAAGCCCCCGCTACTCCTGAAATTCGCAACTTAAACTATTTCTGCATTCTGTTAGAGCCGGAATACACATTCAAGGCGGCTCGAGAAAAAAAGTATAACCTAGCCAATCCAGCAGATCTAGCCGTCTCGTTTCTATATTCGCAGGCTGTCTCCTCCAGTAGTCTTTCTTCTTTAACGTCTTTGCAACTTTGAGAATAAGTCTGTTCGGATAACGCCGTTGGGAAATTCCGGTTCGGAAAACGCGGCTACAAATCTTCACTAGCTATCCAAGATAGCGTCAGCCTTTTTTCTCTCCCCATATTCTCCCCCTCCGCCTCTCCCTCCCCCCCCCCCCCGCTTCCCCCTCCTCTCCCATTCTTCCCCGCTTCGGCCTTTCCCCCTCTTTTCCTCGGTTCCGCCGTCCAGGCGACGCCTTGGCGATTCGCTCAGCCTTGGCGATTCGTACAGCCTTGGCGATTTGTACAGCCTTGGCGATTCGTACAGCCGTGGGGCCCGTCATCTCTTGCATGCTCGGCATTGCCACGTCATTCAGCCACTATGTGACGTGTCAAGCTGCCGCATGCAACGCTTAAGTCCTGGTGGTTTGACTATGCCTCCTCTGATTCTCGTTTCTGGTGTAAGCTGTGAGTATGTGAGTTTCCGAGCTGACCATTTGTGCTATTTCTTTTGTGACTGTATTGAAGTTGAATTCACAGCTTCCATGTTGACTCCAGCTGACTGCTGACTTTGAACCACCGTTTGCCAGTGATGGTGTGTTGTTTTGATGTGGTTGATTCTGAAGCATCAAAGTAAAGTACATTCTGCCACCCACGTCTCCCTCCGGCTTCCCTGCCCGCATCTGTCTGTCTGTGTCGATCCACACCTATGTTGGAAAAGTCGCTCCCACCGCATTATACGCAGGCGTATATACGCTTGCGTATAGTGCGTTATGCGCTTCGTGAGTGACTTTGAAAGTCGCAGAAAGTACGCTGCCCGGGCAGCAAAAGGTTTTTACCGGGCAGACGAAAAAAAGCGCCGAAGGAGGGGGGGGGAGTGGTGGTTTTACCGAATTTCATATATTGAAAAAACCTTACATTCTCAACTACTCTAAGCAAGCAACATGCATCTCTCCTACCCCACCCCCTAGCAACAGGCTCGGGGTAGGGTAGGAGAGATGCATTCTCAACTACTCTAAGCAAGCAACATGCAACTCCTCTACTTGTACTCATCCTCCAGCTCATCCTCCTCCCCCTCCTCTTCGTCCTCCTCCAGAACCTCGTTGTACCCTTCCGGCAGGGAGGCCTCAGGGATGTTCCCGAGAGAACCGTCACCCCCTCAGCCCCCTTGTGCCAGTTGCGCACAATGTTCCAATTGTGCGCAACATACATGAGGTCCCGACACTTCTCGGACCCCAACCTGTTGCGCTTGGCAGTGTGGATCGATTCCCACACTGCCCAGTTCCTCTCACACGCCGATGCGGACACTGGCTGAGAGAGAACGCGGCAAGCGAGCGTTGTCAGCTCGGGGTGCTCCGTCCCGTGCCACGTCCACCACTGGACGGCCGTCTTCTTACCGGCCTTCACGAGCCCACAGTCAGAGATGGCGTCGGGTAGGCCGAAGCTCCCCTGAAGGGTGTTGAATGCCGTCAGGCCGTACTGGATGACGTGGGATGCGCGCAGCTCCTCGCCCTCCTTGCGCGTGACGGTCCGCCCTGCGTAGTGACGAGCGACAAACGCTTTGAAGACGCGAGTACACTCCAGGTCGGTGCGGAAGATGCCTTCCTCTTGGTTGACCGGGTTGAGGATCCGGCCAACCACGTGCATGGCACACGCCATGCTATGGTCCCAGCGCTTTTGGACGATGTTGGTCACCTCCGTGCGTTCACTGCTGGACAGCACCAATCCCGCCTCCTCCTCCTCCAGCTTCGCATTGATGTCTTCCGTGAGCTGCAGCATCAGATCGTACATCCTGCCCATCATGCCCTTGGCCGTCGAGTCGGTCTTGCGCATGACGACAAAGGGGATCTTCAGGAGGGCGACGAAGAACCCCGCACCTTTCTACCACACGGCATCCATGATCATGGTTGCGAAGGGCTCGATCGGCGGCTTCCTCCCCTTCGCCCAAGCCTGCCACTCCGGCTCAACACCATCTGCGTCAATGCACTCCGCACCTCGCAAAGCCGCTGCACCGCGATGAATTGCGTTCCAAATCTGGTGCCCGCCGGCTTCAGCACCTGCTTCCCCTTCCCTCCCTTCACCTGCGGGCTTCGCATGTAACCTTTGGTGAAATGGTGGCCACGCACAAAGGTAATAATCACCCCCGCCTTAGCCATAATGTCCTTCGCCCAATCCATTTCACCAATGTCCTCCATGAGCAGATCCATGACGTGAGTAGTGCACGGCACATGCTCAATGTGAGGATACTCAAGCATGAGTTCCCTACATGCAGCCGCATAATTGCTGCCCCCATCCATGCATAACGCAACTATGTTGGCGGGCCCCACCTTCTCAATGATCGGGCGCAAAACGGATGCAATGTAACCTCCCGTCTTCATCTCCAACTTACAGTCGATGCTTTTTGTGAACAATGCACCGGAATCGTTGATGAGCAGGATGTTGGCTTGGGGACGGCCACTTTTGTCCGTCATCATGTCCGAGCCTATCGTCACGCCATCCCGCTTCCAGCTCGCAGTGATGGGAGCGAGCCCCCTCTCGATCTTTTCGCGGCAGCGCGCAAGGCCGGCACCACCAACATACCGCCGCTTCGGGGGAACGTAGCCATGGCCCGCGTCCGTGATGCAGCGCACAGCGTTGCGCCAGAGAGGGTGATCGGCGAGATGCTCCGGGAGGTGAAGTGCCGCCCACATGAGGCAGATGGCGTCGTCTGCCGATTCCTTCGCACACGACGCCCCTTCCCCGTAGAAGTCTTCGATGCACTGCTTCTTCGCTCCACCCGCACACGCCTCGATCGCCATCTCCTCCGCCTTCTTCTTCCCTTCCCTGCGGGCGTGTTTGCCTTTGTACAATTCGCGGACGGCGCAGCGGTCAGCAGAAGGGATAGGCGCCTTGCAAAGACGGACGTCCTTCCGTTTCAGCCCTTTCCAGCGCGTGATGTGTTGCGCGCAATGGAAGGCGCCCCCTACGAACTTAAGCTTGCAGTGCCGGCATATGCGGAGAGTACGCTCAGGACCATTCGAGGTACCTTCGGTAGAGGTAAGGAAATGCTTAAAAATAACATGGGTCTTCACAGGAACATCCTCGTCGTCCGCCATGGTCGCGTCATTCGAAACACTAGGAGCCTCACTAGTGGCACTTGCGGGAGTACCAGAAGGAGTCGACATCAAATGCAGGTGAGCGGGAGTGTTGAGAGAGAATGAACGAGGAGAGAGATAGTACAGATGACGGGAATGAGAGCTTACCTTATAGTCCAGGATGTGGTTGAACCACCTACGCTGGTTGACGACATTCGTGTTTGTGTGTTAGAGTTGCGCGATAACATAGGGTGCAGTGCGGTTCAAATTTTCCCACGTCCCCACATTTTGACAGGTGTGGGTGACAATGTGGTTGGGACGTGCGTACAAATTGGGGTGGGACGTGCATACACTTTGAGTCGCGTCGCACATTCGCAATTCGTGCGCGACTGTTGAAATCTGTTTTTTTTTTTCGGGTCAGCCCGAACTTTCGCCAACGAATATACGTACGACTTGCGTACACAACTATACGGAGTGCGCTTATGGTTTCTGGAGACTTTTCCAACATCACACCCGCTCTCCGTCCCGCTGCAAAGCAGCAGGTCTCCCAGACGCGCCTGTCATTCAAGGGCCCTTAGCACTGCTTTCAACCGCCGCACATGCAGCAGTACACTCACTTTCGCTTTTTTCTCGTATATGCTCTTTCCGTTTCTTCCCAGCGCACATAGTTCCATCTCCTCCCATCTTCTGTATTCCTTCTTCTCCATGCAATATCTAAAACTCCGGGCTGTTGGATTGAACCGCCTTGGACGCCATTCAAGTGCAGATATACGGTAGTAATTGCTCTCTTCCCCTTTCCCTCCACTTATCTCCTCTGCCCCACTTTCTCCCGTTCCACCCATGTTTCCCCTATCTGCTCGCATCAGACAATCGTTTCTGAGCCCGCAGCTGTCAGCACGAGTTTCTCCAGCGGCAGTGCCGTCAGCACCGGCAATGGCAGTGTCAGTGGCTCATCTCCCGCCTCCTGCTCCTCCTTGCTGCACCCAGACGACCTGGCAAGAGTGGTGCTGCGTGAGCCTGCAGAACCCGCTGCAGCAGGCAGAGCAGAGGGCAGAGCAAAGGTGAGAGTAGAGGGCGGAACAATTGCACGGGGGCTTACAGACGAGTGCGCAGCAAAGGGGCGTGGGCATTAAAGGTCATGACAGAGGTGGCTTGGGGTCCTGAGTCTGGTTCGCGGCCCGGGCAATTTGCCTTGTGCCGCTGCCTTGGATCCGCTCGGAGAAGAGCCTTGGAAGGTTGGGAAAGGAAGTGATGGGAAGATGGTCTCAGAGGCCGGTCCTGAGCTTGCTAGGGCGCTAGGGCGCTGGGGTGAATTGGTTGCCTTCGTTACAGGGTCACTTCAACTCAGGTTGGGGCCATAATGAGAACAAGCCCGAGTCTGTTGAGAGTCTTTGGGAAATATCGCAAGCTGTTACCATGTCATGCGACTCATGCCAGTCACTCAGAATCCGGAGTTCACTCATTCAGTTGTGCCATAACAACTACTCTTTCCCATGCCACCCATTCCGAAAATCACGCCACTGAGAGAACTCCAAGTTCTGACTTAATGCCAGCCCAACCCCACTCGTACCCCGCCCGTCAGCTCGTATTTGCAAGGACTTCCCAATTCCACCCCACCCACGCTGCTTGCGATACGTGAGTGGATTACTACTCATACGTTCTTGCCTTACCTTGGACTGCTTCCCCACAGGTCACCTATCCTCTAGGCCATGTTAGAGTCGCTGAGTGCCGATTTCACGTTGCGGCACTCCCGCAATCACCATCTTCTATCCCTGATGACCGCTATCATGTCACACCCGTTTTTCGGGTCTCATTCCAATCACCGGCTAGCCTTCAAGGTCGATGGATCTTGTTTTCTTTATGAACCTCTCTCCACTCCACCATGATCTCGCCCAAGGAAATCCAGTCAGCGACACATATGAACAACAATCCCAACGATGCTCCCTCTAACTCCTCTCTGCCCACTCCCCATTCCCTACGATTCCCCACTGCCCATTCCCCATACCCTGCAATTCCCCTCTGCTCATTCCCCACTGCCCATTTCCCTGCGATTCCTTGCCCCCTTCCCCTCTGCTTATTATCCCATCCCCACAATTCCGTTCCCCACTTCCCTCTGCCCGTTTCCCCTTTTCCTGCAATTCCTTTCTCAGTTCCTGCACCCTCCTATCCCATTTCCCTCGTTTCTTCCCAATTGTACTTATCGTAATCAGGGCTGTGGCTGCTGTCTGTGCTGTGCTGTTTTGTGCAGGCAGAGCTGTTTGATGCTGATAAAACGGGGGTCAGACCAGTGGGGTCAGATTGGTGACTTTTGAATCGACTCAGAAGTCACCTACTCTGCGCTGCCAGAGCTGTTCATTTCTATTCAGATCAGTGAGGTCAGCTTGTAAACTGTAAGAGGTGGGATTCCAGGGAAGTGCGGGAACCCCTGTTAAAGCCCAAGACCTGAATTACAAAAAAAAAAAAAGGCAAACTGTGCACACTTTGCCTCCCGAACCCAAAGTTGACCTCCCGAGCCAGGATGGTAACAAAAAAACGTCGCATCCCAAGAAGACTGAGTCGTAGAGCAGAACGCGTCCGCTTGGCGAGAGTTTCAACCACCTTTCCTGAAGGAGGAAGGGAACTGCCTGTGCACAGTTTGCCGAACAATGGTAATTCAGGAATGCTTGTGCGGCTATTACGCGAAACGCAAAGCTCTGTCAGTGGCATAGGCAGGACCTTCAACCCCGTTGCAACACTTGCTTTGCCCTCATCCCAAGCTTGACATGCGCAAAGCGTGTCCTTTTTCCACGTCGAAATTAGTGCCGTGAAAGGTAATTTAGCTATCCCTTCACATCGTCCACCCCCTTGACGCACCGTCGCCCTCGCATCCCCCGTTTCCCCATCGCCCTTGCCCTCCCAACGCCCTTACCCCGGTCCCCTCTCGTCGATTTCTTGTCAACGTCGTGGGGCCACATTCCGACGCTTCGTACACCACTCCGCGCTCCTCTCGCCTCACGGTGCGCGCTCCTCTCGCCTCCCCGCGCGCGCTCCTCACGCCTCCCCGCGCGCGCTTCTCTCGCCTCCCCCGCGCGCGCTCCACCCCGCGCGCGCTCCTTTCGCCTCCAGCGCCGCATCTTCCCGCCTCCCCGCGCGCGCTTCTCTTGCCTCCCCGCGCGGCCTCCTCTCACCATCGCCAGCGTGCTCTGCTCGCCATGGCCTCGCGTGCTCCTCTCGCCTTGATAGCGCGCGATTCTGTCGCCTCCCCGCGTGGCCTCCTCTCACCATCCCGCGCGTGCTCCTCTCGCCTCCCCTCGCATGAGAGGCGAGCCTTTATAGCGCGCGCTTCACTTGCCTCCCCGCGCGGCCTCCTCTCACCTCCCCGCGCATCCTCCTCTCGCCGCCTCACGCGTGCTTCTCTCGCCTCCCCGCGCGAACTCCTCTCGCCTCCCCTCGTGTGCACCTCTCACCCCCCCTCTACCGCCCTTCTTTCCTCCCCGTGCAGCCTCCTCTCACCTCCCTGCGCGTGCTCCACTCGCCTCCCCTCGCGTGGTCCTCTCACCTCACCTTGTGTGCTCCTCTCGCCCCCCCACGCGTGCTCCTCTCTCCCCATCTTGCGTGCTCCTCTCGCCTCCCCACGCGTGCCCTCTACGATGCGTGAGGGGCTTCACCTCCCGTCTCCTCACTGCCTCTCTGCGTCTCGCGACAGCCTCTGTTCGCGTCGCTGATCGCAAATATTGCCCTTGGCCCCTGCTCACACTCTTGCAACGGCTGTGCTTCCGCATCCCCTCTGCACGCCCTCTTTCCCCCTCTTCCACGCCCTCATTTCCCACCCTGCTTGCCCACGTTTCCCCACTTTGCAGTCCCTCACAAGCCCTCGGTGCAGGCCCTCTCGCCTCCCGTGCTCCACTCCGGAATGTGGGACGCTCCTCTCTCCTCACCTCCCGTGCTCCCCTCTGACAGGTGGGGTGCTCCTCTCTCCTCACCTCCCGTGGTCCACTCTGACAGGGCATGGTGCTCCTCTCCTCTCGCCTGCAGTGCTCCACTCTGGAATGTGGGATGCTCCTCTCTCCTCACCTCCCGTGCTCCACTCTGGAATGTGGGAAGCTCCTCTCTCCTCACCTCCCGTGCTCCACTCTGACAGGTGGGGTGCTCCTCTCTCCTCACCACCCGTGCTCCACTCTGACATTTACTGGGTGCTCCTCTCTCCTCACCTCCCGTGCTCCACTCTGACAGGGCAGGGTGCTCCTCTCTCCTCACCTCCCGTGCTCCACTCTGACAGGGCAGGGTGCTCCTCTCACCTCACCTCCCGTGCTCCACTCTGACAGGTGGGGTGCTCCTCTCTCCTCACCTCCCGTGCTCCACTCTGACAGGGCAGGGTGCTCCTCTCTCCTCACCTCCCGTGCTCCACTCTGACAGGTGGGGTGCTCCTCTCTCCTCACCTCCCGTGCTCCACTCTGAGCAGGTGAGCTTTCACTCTTCAATGAGCCTCCGTGCTGCTGAGGTGACTTGTGAGCCGACTCAAAAGTCACCCCGTGCTGCTGAAGCCCGCTGCTGCTCGCTGGGCGCTCGTGTTTGTCGGGGTTTCTGTTAATTCCGCACTCTGAGTGCCTCTACCATGCAGTCCGTTCAGCATCACTCACCGTGATGATGTGCACACGTGTGGGTGTGTGTTTGGGTGGCAAGGGTCAGCTTCAACACCACCTCTAAACTCAACTGCCCCCCCCACCCATTCCATAGTGCAGTGCCGCACACATGGCAATAGCCAGCTGTAGAGTCACCTTTGAATCCATCACGTATGGCTCCACGACGCCGACCAGCGAGCACGACGCCATTTTGTCGTCTCGCCCCTTGCCGCCTGCAACGGAGTCGGCGTCCTTCGCCGAAGTCGATGCCTTCGTCGACTGTTTCTCCTTGCGCGGATGATTTCCTCCACGACGAGGACGACGGCTGCCAGACCTCCCGCGGCCGCCCGTGTCGTCGTCGTCGGAGTCACTGCGGTCGGGACAATCGAAGGAGAGGTGATCGGGGCTGTGGCAGATCCAGCACTCCCGACGTCGACCTCCTCCTCCTCGACCGCCGTCCTTGGTCGACTTCTTCTCGACCTCCTTGGTCGACTTCCAGCTACCGCTCCCGCCGCCACCAGACTGTCCGCGGTGTCCTGGTCGGCCTCCTTGTTTCGCAGGGGCGACGAAGTTGGCCTGCGCCAAGAGCTCCTGCGATCGCTCAGCCTCCTGCATCGCCTCGTCCTGCAGGATGTATGAGGTCAGGTTGTCCTCGTTGAGCATCGCCCTTGTGCTCGGCGCCATAGACAGCCGCTTCAGCAGGTTGTAGCTGCTAGAGAGACCCTGCATGACATGGGTGATGTACGACGCCGTGGAGTACTGCGCGCCGACCATCCTGATGGTGGCGAGAATTCGCCTGGCTCGGTTGCAGTAGTCGGTCGCACTCTCCTCGTCGCCCATACGCAGGTGTGTCAGCTGTCCCTCCAGCTGGGCGATGAACAGGTCGTCGGTGACCTGGTACGTCGACTCAATGAAGTGCCACGCCCAGTGGCCAGCGTCGAGGTACTCCCGGCACCACTTCAAGGCGATCTGCACGCCCGGCGAGCAGCACCGCGAGATGACCGTGAAGGTCAACAGCTCCACGGCGCGAAACTCCGCACGCAGGTCGGGGTGGTGCTCACTCGGCGTCGCCACGGTCCCTCGGGCGAAGCCGATCAGCCCGGCCATCTCCAGCTGGGGCTCGATGGCTTCCTTCCAGGTGAGAATGTCGGGTCGACCGACCAGCGGAGGGGTGACCGAGATCCTGTCCGGCGTAAACTTGAAGTAGCCGTAGCTCGGTGCAATCCCACCTGCCCGTCACCTGGGACGCCGTCATCGGCGACAGCCTACTTCGACGCCCACCGTCGTCACCATGTGAGGAGCCCGCAGCCACCGACGACTGCATCCCTCTCGCCTGAACGCCGCCGGCTTCACTGGCGTGTATCACACCTCGTTGCCTCGACGTGCCTCCCACACTGCTGCCGACCTGACCTCCACCGGCGTTGACGCCCACATCGACGCCGCCGTCGTTGTTCACCGGTCGAGGAGAGGCAGGTCGAGAAGGGGGATGCTCCGCCGACCACACGGAGCGGAGTCCGGCCTCGACGACTGCCCAGGGTATCGCCCCATACTCCTGGGCCTCATGGCGTCTCCTCGCATCCTCCAGCCGTCCCTCCAGGGTGTCCATCACCTCGGCGTCGCCTACGCGCACGCTAGTGACTTCACGGCTGCCGGTCTACGAACACGATCGGTATGTGCTAAGTCGGCTAGACTGAACTACGTCGCGTGTTCGATCCACGCTCACCGCACCATGAGAAGATAACTACTACAACGGGAGCTTAGAGTACTGGCTAGGCACGTGTGCTCGTGTGATGTCTGCGTTCGTTGGTCCTTAGACGTTTTCCTAGTGCTCACACTGGTTGCTAGTTCACGGGGCAATTTGGCAAGAGTTTCACTAGAGAAAGTTGTCAATAATGGTCCAATAAAGTTGGCAATGCAAGACTACATCAGAGCTAGCATTCAGGTTGGTCGACTGCCAGCACAGCATGGTCGACCGCGTTCCAGCACGACTTGGTCGACCACGCTACAACAGTGCAAAGTCGACAGCTTGCCAACGCTGCAGGTTGACGGTGTGCCAGCATTGCTCACGCAGGACAGCAGTGCACCCGCTTTGCAGGTGCACGCAGATGATTGGCATGCAAAGTCTCGTCACCTGCACAGCGCACACACCACGTCAACCTCGGGCTAGCGACTGCCTCTGATCCGCCACGACGACCTCGGGATACCACCATGGAGGTCGGTCTCGCCAACTTCGCCTGGGTGACCGTCGCACTCCTTCGCAGAAACTCGTCACCCAGGTATCCTGGTCGACCGGGCAACTATGTCGACCAGCTGCTCCTGTATGTGCTCGTCGACCTCCCAAGTCAACAACCACACCAGGTCGACCTCACCAGGTCGACCACTCCTCCGGTCGACCAGATCCAGGTCGACGTCACTCCTGGTCGACCAGTGCAGTTGTCACCTACCCAAGTCGGCGTCACCAGGTCGACGCCCCTTCTACGTCGGCGCCGACTTCCAGACTGACCTCTTGAAGTTGGCGACCTCCCAAGTCGGTGACCTTGCAAGTCGGCGCCGACTTGCAAAGTCGGTGACCTTGCAAGTCGGTGACCTTGCAAGTCGGTGACCTTGCAAGTCGGTGACCTTGCAAGTCGGTGACCTTGCAAGTCGGTGCCGACTTCCAGGTCGACGTGCCACATCGCCGACCACCAGTTGAAGTCGGCCGCTGGCTTCCCAAGTCGGCGGTATTGCAGTGGCGCCGTGCAAGTCGACCAACCCCGTCGACCAGCTCGTCCAAGTCGGCGTCGCCCACTGCTGCAAGTCGGCTGTACCTTCCGTACACCCCACCACGAAGTCGGCTCCGCCCAAGCGTGGACGGGGCCAACACACAACTCCCGTTGACACGTGCGCCCCGTGGCACGCGACGGTGCCCTGCCCGTCGTGCGCCCCGTGGTGTGCAACGGTGCACTACCTACCTACCTACATGAGCCGCCGCGTACCCGCCCCTGGCGCACTCGGCGGTTGTCTCACTCGCGCCTCCACTTGCTGCAGCCGCCCCTGCACCACCCGGCGCCTGCCCTTGGAGCAGTCGCCCTCGCTCCTGCACTCGGTGCAGCCGCCTCTACCTCTCCCCGCGCCTGCACTCCCTGCAGCCGCCCCTGACCTACCCGCGCCGACCAACTGTAGCCGCTCTGCGGCTTTCTCCCCGCCCACCCCCTCCTCCTTCGTTTCCCTGCAGCCGTGGGGGGGAGGGTATGGGGGTGGCGGGTGTTGGGGTGATGGGTGGTATGCTTCCCTTCCCCTCCTCCTCCTTTCTTTCCCACTGCTGCAGCTGCCGCTGGGGGGAGGGTGTGAGGGTGTGGGGGGAGCTGGGGAGTCGCATTGGGATGGCGGGTGTGAGACCAACTTCCCTTCCCCTCCTCCTCCTCCTTTCTTTCCCGCTGCTGCAGTTGCCGCTGGGGGGAGGGTGTGAGGGTGTGGGGAACTGGGGGAGTGGCACTGGGGTGGCGGGTGTAAGACCATCCAGCAGCCGTCCCTCACCTCTCCTCTCTTCCCCCCTCTGCTGCTTCTGCAGCAGTGTGGGGGGGAGGGGGAGGGGGAGGGTGAGGAGATAGCAGGAATTCTTGCTATACCTTTGCTGCTGTACTACCTACCTACCTACCTGCTGCTGCTGCTATTTGTGTACCCCTGCAGGTTGTGTTCTGCACAAACTCCTGCTGCAGGCAGTTATGGGGGAGTGTCAGAGTTTATATCTGTAAACTGCATGTAGCTATAGTTAGTGTAGTTATTACAAACTGTGTTAGGTGGTGCACCTTTGTTCACTTGCATATATGTGATTGCAAATCTATAGTGAACACAACATTCTTTCCCAAAATTCTCTCGACACCCTTGGCACAACCAACTCGATCCTCCTTGGCCTAGGCTACTAAGCCTAGGCCGAACTATTCTCTAACTACCTATTGTACTAGTTTCACGACAAAAGCGCCGGCGCTTCTATCTGGAGCCATGCGCTTATGGCCGGTCCTCAATTATAAGCCCCCTTTCCCAAAAACCTTTACTTATTATAAGCGCACGTACAATATTAATTCAAAATCGTGCTCAAAACATCTAATTTCATTCTCGCTTGGTTTGACTCGCAAAGACCTGACTAGCTTCGCGTCCAGTCAGGATGAGCTAGCAGAATATGTCTTAGTTGGCAGAATATCGCTTCCGCGCGAATCTGCTTGGTGACTCCAAAAAAAATCGACTCGGTTGAAATGGCAAGAAGTAGATGTACAATTTGGTGCTCTACAAATATATTTTTGTGATTGTCATTATATAAGAGCATGCGCTTATGCCCTAGACTCAATTACAAGCGACCCCCCCCTCCCCCCCCCCTAAATTATTTAATTTTATTATGAGCGCATATGCGCTACTATCCGGGGTGATACGGTACCTTCTGCCCAGCTAAACCTGGGAAGGGAACTATGGTACTGTCAAATATTGTAGCCTGTAGTGAGGTTTGTCTTAGGGGGTACAAATACTAGGGTTTGCTATATGTACCCCAACCCTCATCAATAACAGAACACTTTGATTCTTGACGTGGTATCACCTAGGTTAAGATCGTGTGGGATCCCGCTCCTCCCATCCTCGTTCGTTCCGCCCGAGCCTGTCTCACTCTCTCGTACTAGTCGTACCCGTCTTGCCCGAGCCTAGCGCCGGCCCGATCCTGTCTCGCTCTCTCGTACTAGTCGTACCCGTCTAGCCCGAGCCTAGCGCCGGCCCGATCCAGTCTCGCTCGTTCGTTAGCGCCCGCTCCGCCGACCTGCTTTCCGCATAGCATAGCGACTTCCCCCCCACCTGCCCGTCGCGTCGCGCTCTCCCCGGCTTCCCGTCCCGTCACGCCCTCCCCCGCTGCTCGTCGTGACGTGCCCTCCCACCCTGCTCGTCGCGTTGCGTCCTCCCCCCGCTGCCCTAAATGCCCTGGTTTTCGCCACTGCTGACAGGGTTGCCT